CACACACACACACACACACACACACACACACACACACACACACACACATACACACATACACACACTCACATACACATATACATTCTCTTGTCTATTGATGGGGAGCGCCACCTGCTGGAAACTAGGTCCAGCGTCCCATGAACATCGTGAATAAAGCACCAACCGGCACCCCACACACACACACTCTTCGAGTTGTGTATAGCGAACATGACAAAACATACATACAGCATAATCACTACCTTACCCTTCCCGAACCACATAAACAAACGAACTACGGGCTGCGCACCCGTGCCCTCACGGTAAGTCAATTTGAAGGCGGGAAGAGTGGGGTGAGAGCTTTAAGGGGGGAAAGGGTGTGGGAGAAGATTACACCGGGGGCATGTAGTTGTATGGGGATTTTCTGCTTCAAATTCCATTTTGCAGTGGCGGCACTGCGACATCTGTGCAGTTCTTTGCCCCCTCCATTCGCCGAATCTGTTGCGGTTATTACAGAACGAAAAAAGTGGGAAATTAATCATCCTAAGCTTGCTGTTGCTGAAGTGTGTCTTGGTACGCTGGATTGCTGTGCGTGTAAGTTTTTGAATAGTCTTGAGACATTTAATCGATATGGAACAGAAATTCCATTTGTGTGTCAAGGACCTGTGATGATGGTGAATTCTTTTGACATCGTAACGATCCGGACGTCCGGATCCTAGTCCAGACCGTCCGCGTCTGCATATCCAGACGGACATCCGGTCCGGTTGGTCCGGAGGTTGTTCAAGGCCCACCCCCAAAGAAATTGTTTTGGGATATTTTAAGTTTTTTTAACTATTTTCTGGCCCTTTCAGAAAGCCAAAGAGGGCCACGCTGAGACTTCTGATTGATTGAGAGAGAGAGAGAGAGAGAGAGAGAGAGAGAGAGAGAGAGAGAGAGAGAGAGAGAGAGAGAGAGAGAGAGAGGTGCACAGGCTGGCTACTGCCGTGAGGTAGGTATGGCCCAATTCACTCCCTGTCTGTATACCATCTGTAACCTCTTCTTTTTTTTTTTTTCTACTGCTGGACGTCCGGATTTTTCCAGACGTCAGTCGGGGTGGACGTCCTGCTGTGTCGGGGTCCGGGTCTGGCGTAACCATGGTCCATGGTTTTTAATGTGACATCAGTGCACGAAATGGACTGTGGTTGGCCTCCACAGGCACACTGCTGCTGCAAAAATTGTGTGGTCGTTACGTGCACCAGAGTTTCCTTTTCCCTTTTTTAAAAGTGCGACGACCTTGAGGTATGATCCTCAACCTGACCGACTCTAGGTAATCCAAGATTGCAGTATTTTTTAGTCATTCGACTTCGGTGGAGTCCAAACGGGGGTCTGTATTTCAACAGTTCAGTTTAGTCCAGGGGGGTTGTACCAACTGAGAGCTAGGCCAGTTGGTGTGCAGCAGAGTAACTGTTTCTGTAGTTTTTCTCTCCCCTTATCTCAAATACAGAGGGGGTAAATACCGCTCAGGGAGAATTTCAAGGGGAGACTGTGGCCAATGGATTTCCAGGTTCACCGATCATTGGAGGATCGAGATTCGAGGACAACTAATCCTATTGTACAAGCAATTATTATAGTCCCTACTAGAATCACAAAACTGGAGAATATATAAAGTAAGAATCACAAAACTGGAGAATATAATATATAAAGTAAGAATCACAAAACTGGAGAATATAATATATAAAGTAAGAATCACAA